GCCTGCCCCGCTGGAGCGCGTCCCGCGGGCGAGGAGCTGAGCAGGGCGCGTGGAGGGGCCGGGAGGCGGGGCCGCGGTTGTTTACCTCAGGCTGCGCGACAGTGTCACGTGTCCCCGCTGGAATGCGCGGCTCGTCGCGGCATCCCGGTTAACCGAGCGGGCTCGCCCCGCCCCTCCTGCTCGCCACGCCCCTTTCTGTGACGTCACGGGCGTGGCCTGCGGCGCGGGCAGAGGGCGCGCGGGCGGGAGCGCAGAGGCTCCGAGTCCTGCGCAGCTAAGGGGCTTTGGCCGCTTCCCTACATCAGTCGCAGGTTTTGGACCCGCGGCTGGGTGGGCGCTGCTTGGGCCGGGCTAGAATGCTTGAAAGAGTGCGCTTCGGAATGGAGGACCGATCGCTGCCCTAAAAGCCGCGTGGCCTCTGCAGGATCAGAGCACCACTGCAGTCTTTTTCATTTCATTCCTCTGATGATATTGTTAACGTAGCTTGACGCCGCCTTTCTCCCCAGGACCTTGCTCCCCTGCTAAACCGAAACTTTTCGGCACCCCTAACCCATGTCGACAAGCAAATGCAAGACTTGGGCGAAATACCAAATGCCTCACTACCTCTGGCCTTTTGAAAATGGGTGTAGCTGCTAACCAGAGGCCAGAGGCAAAGTGGACGGGGTCATGATGGATTCTGAGAATGTTGAAATGGAATAGAATATTGAAAACAGTTCTACCTAACTGTGTTAGTTGTCCGTGTTTGTAGAGGAAAGCCATAATATTCACATGATCAACCATGTACTGAATATAGTAGTGGGCTGCTTTTGCTTTATTCTGAGCTTTGATCACATGCTGAACTAGGGCTCTAAAACTTTCAAAGTGAACCTAGGAGCTGTCTCAGCGTTTGAGTGTGGGGGGAAATAGCTGAGGTTATGATATATGCCTCCCCTCACCCTTCCGCTGAAATGTAGATTCCACGAATGGAAAGACTTCATCTTGTTGGCTATTACGGTTACAAACGCAAGCACAGAGTTGAAACTAATATTTACTGAATGAATTAATGAGCGAGGAGTTCCCAAGGCAGTGAAGCCAGTTTTACCATCTCCTGACCAGGGTTTTTAATTTGCCATGGTAGGTGTGACTGGCAGGATCCCAGCAGCTTTTGCTCAGGTCACTTGAACCTGTTAGGTAAATCAGCTCAGAAGGAAAAACAACCACGTAAATACGTAACCAGCTTTTCGCTTGTAAACCTCTCTGGCTAAGTAGAAAAGAGAAATTACTTAGGTTTCATCAATGATTTGGGGGTTATCTCCTGCTCTGTGTATTCAGCTGTCTTTAGCCTTTCAGTAGCTGGCGTTCTGAAACAGAAGACAAAACTACTAGCAATAAAATAATCCTCAAATAGTATTTACTGAGTGCCCATTGTGTGCCTAGCAGAGATAGAAAACAGGAGCATGGAGGGAGATAAGAAAACTTTTTTTTTAATTTAAATCCTAAAGCAAGCTTGTGTTTTGAACAGACTAGGGTAAACACAGTGGGGGGAAATAAGGCTAGGTACACAGAAGACAGACTAGATTTGATGTACGAAATTAGGAATGTCAAAAAAACCAAAATTCAGTCATTAAATTTGATATTCTGATTGGCTTTATTAAGCAATCCAGGCTTAATTCCATCAGGCAGCATCCCAACTAGCTACTAGAAGGGGTTGAACAAAATGGAAACTTTTTTAGTAGGAAGAAGGGTGGGGCCTTCTTAATAAAGAGTCATTAGAAAAAAAAATTATTTTTAGTTCAGGACTTTTGGAGGAGGCAAGGCTAAGGTCGGTCAAGTGTTTTATCAGGCAGATTGCTTCTTCTTCCTCTAGGGGATGAAGAAGGCCTACAGGACAGATGACCTCATTGGTGCTGAGCAGATGATTCCAAACTGGTTGATTAAGATTACATTTCAGCAGAAAGTTGAAACTGCAATGTAATCTTTGTTAGTTGTTATGGGGCCCATTTTGGGCCTATTTCTTTCTTTCTTTTTTAACAGGAAAACAAATATAAACAAAGATGCAAAGATTTGAGACTTTAACGTATGTGAAGGCTCTTTGTTTTTTGGGGGTTTTTTTTCTTTTAGTTTCTGTGGGGACAGCGCGTCTATAACACTGCATATTCACTGCGAGACTCAGTGCCATTCTGTACCTTGGTCTGGAAAATCTTCCTAGAAGAAATGGTACTTCAAGAAGCTCAAAGCAGGGATGATTGCCAGCCTTGGAAATGAGAGTTGTTTTCTGCCCTTGGAGTGTGACAGAAAGCAAGGCCTTGCAAGTGATAGCAAAAAAGTTAGGGTGGGAAAGAGGGAGCAGCAGATCTGATTCCTTGATACTCCATCTGAAAAGAATTCCTAATGATTCCCTTCTGGAAAATCATCTGTCTAGCATATTTGGGGGCTGTGCAGAAAACTGGCAGAAGTTTAGGAAACTAGGTTTCTAAACCAAACCAGTTATTGAATAGGCTAGAAAAACAGGAAATTTCATCAACTATCCACCAAAAGATAGCAACAAGACAATCCACAGATTAAAACAAATCAAAAAGGACAAGTCGTTTAATCAATGAATATTTATTGAGCACCTGCTATGCTTCCAGCAAGGTGTCAATTACAGGGACTTTAGAAACAGATTCTGTCCTGCAGCCCAGGCAGCAGAAATCTAGGCACCAAAGGCATCTTTGTAAAATAGCATTCAATCCTGGCATGTTTTTTGAAGGTATATATATCTAAGTACCACCATCCCTAAGCTACAGTCCTTAAAAGACAGTAAAATTCCCAACCTCTTCTCCTCCCCTCAAAATAAAGCTTTTAAAAATATAAACATTTGTCGATTTATTCACTTATTAAAGAATCATTTCTTTACAAACCTAGCATGAAAAATAATCTTGAAAAAGAACAAAGTTGAAGGACTCATGTTCCCAATTCCAAAACTTACCACAAAGCTACAGTTATCAGGACCATGTGGTACTGGCATAAAGATAAACTTACAGATCAATGGAATAGAACTGAGAGTCCAGACATAAAGCTGTATGTTTATGATCAATTGTCTTTGACTGGGTGCTCAGATAATTCAATGGGAGAAAGAACAGCTTTTTCAACAGTGCTGGGACAACTAGATACCAAAGAATGAAGTGATACCCCTCAACATATATAAAAATTAACTTAAAATGTATCAAAATAAAGAGTGGAAACTATCAAATCCTTAGAAGATATTTGAGGCAGAAATCTCAGTGTCCAGAAAGTAGGCAATAGTTTCTTAGCTATGACACACACACACACACACACACACACAAAACAACAAAAAGAGAAAAATAGGTAAATTGGACTTCATCAAAACTGAAAACTTTGTGCTTCAAAAGACACCATAGAAAAAAATGAAAAGGCAAACCGAATCATGGAAAACTATATTTATAAATCATATATCTGTAAGGACTTTGAAATATGAAAAGAATATACAAACAAGTGTTATAATTCAATGATAAAAAGACAAATAACCCAGTTTTTTAAATGGACGAATAATTTGTATAGACATTTCTCCAAAGAAGGTATACAGTCAGTAAGTGCATGGAAGAGCACTCAACATCATTAGTCATTAAGGAAATGTAAATCAAAACTCACAGTGACATACGCTTCACACACACTTGGATGGCTATAATTAAAAAGACAGACAGTAGCAAGTGTTGATGAAAATAATGGAGATATTAGAACTCTTATACGTTGCTTGTGGGATTTTAAAATGGAACTTTGAAAAACACTTTGAAAACGTTTTGAAAAACAATTTGGCAATTCAAGGTTACACATAGAATTATCACATGAACCAGTAATTACACTGCTAGGTATATAACCAAAAGATAAAAAGAC